TCGAAACTTAGTACCCCAAGAAAGTCCAATGAAGATTGCCACTGCATTAGGGTTACCGAAAAAGAAGATGGTACCACTAACAGCTGTCGGCAACGGCTAGCCTCCCAAGTCCAAGATTTCAGAAATGATTTCAATGACGGCACTTTGATACTCTATGCATCGTTGCCTTGTGTTGGAGGTAGCCCATGGGGGAATGTTAATGGCCTTACTGTTGAGGGTCAAGAAAGAATCAAAGAGCAACAAAAACAGTTTACCAAGTTGTTCAAATCTTTTGTCAAACTTGTGGATGAAGTTTGTGATGAACGAACCTTGATAGCATTTGAACTGTCCAAGAATTGCAAATATTGGAGATGGCCGATGGTTAGAAAATTCCTCATAGAACGATCCATGACTACTCATCACTTTGATGGTTGTATGTTGGGTGTTCTTGGAAACAACGGTCAACCAATGAAGAAAAGTTGGACTATTGCAGGAAACTTCAAAGAACTCGAAGTGTTAGACTCATTCAAATGTGATGGCAAACATGAGCATGATCAAAGTAGGGGCAAAGCTCTTAAACTTGCTGAGAACTATACCTTCAAGTTGACTGACATGCTCCATGAGTGTTTCCGGGTAGCTGTGGTGGGCCAAACATCCAAAAGGATTTCACCCGCTGTCATTCGTGCCTGTCCTGCTAAAATGGCTGACTCGCGATATGCCACAGCACACCCGGCCAGCCGCGAGGCTGCGCTCGAAGCCACACGTGAGGCTAACAAAGAAGCATGGTTGCTCCTTCACAATCGCATTTTGTTTGCATTGGCCATGCGCAATGAAGGTGAGAATCAGGCTGCTCAGGACCTCGTGGATGGACTGATGACTGAATGGACGCCGGCTTCGGCCCTGAGGTTCTACGGTCGAGAGGATCCGCTTGCAGAATACCTTAGCTTCTGCTTTTTGCCAAAGGAGTCCCACATTGAAAAGATCATGTTGCCAGAGATGCCCGTCAATGATGTAATCTGGATCTTAGTCTCTGACTCGTCATGTGCATTGATCACAGGGCGTAGGAAAACACTTAAGAAGTTTGACCTGTCCGAGCATTACCGGCAGCGCAAGCCTAAGTATGTGACTGAGTTCATCCATGAGATGCTCTGGGGCAAGACTCTGCAGAAGCTGGTCAAGCGTGGGATTGAATTGGCCGCGGACGCCCGCGAGCGCTATCCTGATGCACGCATCAACCTGCATTTGTCCTGGTTCGGAAATGAATTGGTAGGAGAGGATGGGATTGCCCAAAATCCAAATTGGCCGTACGACGGCCCCAACGGGCACTGGCCCACGATCCTGGATGATTGTGAGCGCCACTTGACATGGTTTGTCAACAAGGCCCGGGAGTTGGATTTGCAGTCGGCCGGTCTCACGACCGCGCCTTGGAGCGCAGATTACGGCATCCATCCTATCTTTGACCAGTTCTTTGATGTTTTGGAGCCCCGATTTAAAGCTCTAACCAGCAGCCCGCAAGGGCTTGCCAATCCGAAGTATCCGTGGCTGAAAGCAAAGGGGTACGCCGATGCAATGGAATTCAGAGACCAGTGGCATTTCGCCAACTCTGAAGAAAATCGCACGCGTCTTGCTGCCTATTGGACAGCTACCCTTTTCGCAATTGATTGCGGATGGCGGGTTGGCCGAATTGGTTTGGAGCTTACTCAGTGTGGCCAGGAGACATGGGATGATTTGCGGAGGAACATGAGCGCCGTCCTGGACGAGCTGCCAAGATCCTATCAGGAGACATGTGCAAACATCACCAAGTTGCTTTTTGGAGAGTCCCGAAGACACATCACGCCGACGGGCAGGTCATTCACCAAGGAGGACGTCGAAGCTCAACAACCTGACACTGAGGACTACATCGACACCAAGACGATGCCTTCGGGCACGTTTGCTGAGCCTCCCAAAGATGACCCTCCAAAGGCCGCCGGCGACGGCGAGCCCGCTGCATCCAGCAGAGCAACAATCCTGGTCCAAACGGCTGAGGTCATGTTGAAGTCGCGGCCGAAAGCAGCACCAGCACCATTGGATGAGCCCGCAGATGACAAGAGAGCCACATCCAGCCAGTACCAGCCGCAGGCAACTGCGCGCTTAGAGGGACATGCATCCGGCCACGTGAAAGCATATTGGATGGAAGAGCATTTGCCTGAATACCAATATACAATGGTGACCAATGCAGACGGGGACGATGTGCCCGGTATCCTCTTTGAAGGTACGGCGTATGAGCTGGAGCTGATATCGGCATCCGACGTTGAGACCATTGCTGGCCAGACTCGTGTCGACAAGAAATTTTCTGATTTTGCAACTCGTGTCAACAAAGTTTGCAGGGGGCATGGATCCTGTGCCAAGGTGCCAATGGACAAAGACCTTTGGATTGACTTGGAGGATTTTGCCAAAGCCTTCCGCAAGGAAGTGCCCCCAGATGTTTTCATCACTGTCGCAAACCTGTTTGGCACCGCAATGAAGATCGACAAGCATGGCAAGAGTAGGTTCCAATTCTTGTGTGCAAAGATCTCCCATTTTCCTGTCGACAATGGCCTAGGCATGCCGTATTATCCTGTGAAAATCCGTGCAATTCAGGGTCACTCCGAAGCTGCCTTGAAAACCGCAGGGGGTCTTTATGCCAATTCAACCATGGTGTATTGCTCAAACCAAGTATCCCCCGAGCGAAAAGCCGCCTTCACTGGCGTGCCCCTGTGTGCCATGACTGAGGTCCCTGAGGTTGTCTTCCATCGCACGATGAGAAGCAGCTGGAAGAGCATCGCACAGAACGGCCTGATCCCAGGTGGCGGTGACACAGTCAACAGTGGCCGTGCTCATATCTACATGGCAGAACACTGTATCGGCACACAGGGGTATCGATCTGGATTAAGAGCAAAATGTCCAATCGAAGTCAAAATCGCAATGCGGCAAGCAGTTGAAGCTGGTGTCATCTTTAGTCGCACAGAAATGGATGGTATTTTGTGTTCAGAACGCATTCCACCGCAGTTTCTGGTCAGCATCTCAGAAGAAGGACAGGTGCTTTGGACCCGCGCCGAGAGCAATCTCGAGCCCAGCCCATGGACAGGCGCGGAATCAGCCTCAGCACCGAAATCCAAAGCGGTCACCCTGACTGCCCGAGATGATGCAAATGACGACCCAATGGATGACACCAGCACGGGGCGACCCGATGCCAAGTCCACTGATGATGATGGAGCCACTGCCCCAATGCAAGTTGACCAGCCGCCCGCAAGGACGCGCCGTGTTTACATTGCACCCAAGTACTGCGAACCTTTCATGGGCTCCTGCCCCCTCTGCCAGGTTGAGTACGTCAGTGGCCAAGTGACATGCACCACATGTGGATATGAACCACTCCCAGTGGACGAAAGTGGCGATACAAAAGAGGCCGACAAACCCAACAGGAGGACACGCATCCTTGAACGGCGAATGCAAAGTCTCGCCGGGTTCGGAATGTTTGGGAAAATGAGCGGAAGCTTGCTGACAGCCTTGACGGATGAGCAAGCCAATCTGCTTCGCCGGGAACTGGGCCCCAGGGGAATCACATCCGTGGAATCAGCAGTCCTCAAAGACTGCCGCGACAGGCATCGACGTGCAAAAGCGCTGGGCTACGAGGACGTGGAAGACAGATACTCCAGCGACGTCACTTTTTGCGACCGCATCCACGGTGAGGGGAAGGACCTGCAGGACTGCATATTCGACGACATGTTCGCATATGGCAACCTCCCCGATCCCCCAAGGACCAAAGCTCAGATCTCGGCTGGCGTCGCCGCCAATGCCCAAAATGAAAACTGCTTATCTAAGTTGATTTTCATGTCCCAGCCTCGAGGTGTTGATGGTTTCCCAGTTGAGTTCCGCAAAACATGGAAGAAGGTCTGGGGATTCATGTTCGGCCGCCACATTTTTACAGAGGATGAATATGTCAGCTACATCGGTCGTCGTGGCGCATTCCGTGGCCTTTTGACCTGGAAGGGCACTGTCCAAGTTCCTTTTGATGGCACTCTTGAATTCCTCGAAAAGGTGTATGAGGAAAATCTTCCATTGGTTCGGGGAAACCTTGAACGCAAAGAGAAGCAGAGCGCCGCTGCAAAGGCTGGAGGTCCTGGAGGTCATAAGGCCGACCCCACGGTCGCGCCCACCACTGAGCGAAAACGCAAAGCCGAAGCTGATGCATCCGTCACCACACATGATGACACTGCCGCCTCAAGCTCTGCTCGCGCAGATGCCTCGCACGCTGATGCCCCAGTTGACCCCAACAATGCACCATTTCTTGCACCCGAACCACCAACACCCAAAGCAGGAGCGCGACCATTCTTGGAGCCTGAGACACCGCCCACTGCAAAAGCAGCAAGCAAAGGAGTCACATCAAAGGCTGCAAGCTCCGTCGCCCGGATGCCTCCTGGAGTTGGAATCGTGATCACTATGGTGCACGCCGAGAATGGAGTTTCTGGCGTGGGGCTTGGTGTTACCGTGACGAGGCCGGCGGCCGGTGGATCTATTGGAACCGCAGGTAGACGATGATTTTCTTTTGTAGCATAGCGCAAGATGCGGCATGGTAATGTGCCTTCCTTGCAAAGCTGCGCTGGGTTTTACGGGTTTGAGCTTTTTAAAGGGACCTTTGAAAGACTGCATAAAAATGATCAAAACCAACTAAAGAAATTTGGCTACCCGCGAGGGTATGCTCTTCTGGGTTATTCGTTCTCCGCAGTCGTCCCTGCTCGCCCGAGGGGAGTGTAAAAACTCCTGCAGTAAAACCATGTAGTGTATATATCATCGATCTACTCTGTAGCGTTGGTTCAAAACAGTGCCAAGAGCTGAGCGGCATTTAGGTCCCACTATAGGTATTTTACCCTATTGTTGGCTGACCTGTTAAATTACATATATATATGTGTGTAATATCTATATATATATATATGTATATAATATTAATATATGTATAGTCAGGCAGGGAAACATATGCGTTGTTACTTCAACTTGGCGCCTAGGACTTGGCTGAAAGGTTGGTGAAGGTGCTGCAGGCGACCTGGGATCCACCGATCACGCCCCAAGCGGAGCGCTTGAGGCAACGAAAGGCCGGGGCGCTCACAGCTTTTTGGATGGAGCTAATCATAGTCATGAATATATTATATATAACGTATATATGTATATGTATATGTATATGTATATGTATATGTATATGTATATCAATGGGTTATTTTCCATGGCTATGTTAAATAACCAGATGGTATATATATATGATAATAGAGGTATATATCAATGGATTGGTTTAGTCGGGAAAATCTTAACCGGAAAGCCGCATGATCTTCATGGGAAAATCGATGGTTTCCTGTAGAGTTTCCATGATTTCCCGGGGGACTAAGTCTGTGTCGAGTCTATGTGTTTGAACCATTCAATTATGGAGGTACCCAATTTTGATGACCCCATACCCACAGGAAAACACGTACTAAATCATGTATAGATATACTATATGTATGAATTAATACAAGTCAATGATTTTTGCAACCCTAATCATTATCATTTGTTCACTCTACAAATTTCAACCTTACTTCTACTTCCTCTACTTCTTGTTGTCGTTGTCACCTTAGAATTTTCCTCTGTGGAGTGACCTGCACGGCGGGTTAAGATCGATCTTTTGGTCCCCAGATCAGTGAACCTGGGTCCCCTGGGTTGATAAATTGGGGAACCCTAAAAGTTTGGATTGCCGTGCTGTGATTTACTAGCCATGAACAATGGCCCAATGGCCCATTTATAGATGATTTCCTTCACATTGAATCAAAGGGGAAAAAACCACAGCAAGTCGCCCAAGGCCTCAGAGGCTTGTGAGCGACTGGTGGCGCAGGCCCAGAGGCACCTGGATGCCGATGAAGGCGACTTACGGCGACTTGGGACATCCCTTGGGCGTGATATGGCCAGTGATTCCGGCGTTTGGAAAACATGCAGGAAGGCTCTTTGTTTGGGAAGAATACATGTTTCAATGCTTCCTGGATCAAATCATGTGAATTGAACTTTAAATCGATTCAGTGTTCACTGGCGTAGATCATATTGTAAGTGGCTGGGATGATGACTGGTGGAAGCAACTTTATGAATATTCGTGGGGCCAACGGGTTTGGATTCATGTTGAGTGTTCATGGCTCTTATCCCCAACGCGTCCCAGTAGTGTTTGTGGTCACACACGGCTCACCATTTAGTAGTTGTAGGGATCATCCTGCTTGACTCCTTGACCTTCAAAACAGCCGTTGGGCCGTTGGAACCAAGACTTGGGGTGCAAGTTTGGGTACCCCAAATTTCCCCAAACAGCTACGTCTACAGACTTTCCATTCCATTTTTCTGGGTAAATCATAGTAGTAAGGCCATTGATGTGTATTTTCTTTCTCAACGCATCCAACAAATTTCGGGACGCTCGCCAGGTGGTGAAGCCTACCACTGCTTGGTGCAGCTGCTGCCCTGGTGGCCCAGCCTCAAGGCGTCAAGGTCTTTGGAGATCGTGGGGCTCTTCAGCAAGATGCAAAGTTTCGCACACGAGGTGCCCAGGGGGCCCACGGAGATGGGGGAAGGGCATGGGAAAATATAGGAAATGTTGGCAAGGATCAGTGACCTGGTCAAGATTGAGTCTCATTGAGTCATAGTGAGTCTATTGTTTTCCTGATTCGGACACCTGAAAGGGTGCAACCAATTCAGGCAGAAAATTTGGTGGAAACCTGCACCTTTTTCATCCTTTTTTCATGTCCAACATTTCCCTTTTGGGTGTGTCTGAAAAAAACGGATACCACGTTCCATCCACTGCCGAATCCACTTCCAAAAATCATCATTCTCCCCAGTAAAATGGTCATGAATTGGACCGTAAATCAATGTTTTCAGACACACATCTCATATTGTTGGTTACTTATATCCAATTATATCCAATTATATCCCAGTAAACTTCCAAGTTTAGAGATGATGTTCCATGATTTTCACAGTAAAACCATAATTCCTAATGGATTTCCCCTAACTTTCCATGAGTTTCCATCGTTTTCCCGGGATTTTCCATGGTTTTCCCATGGCTTTCCCCATGGATTTTCCGGGTGCCAGGCCTTCCTCACGGCGGCCAAAGCAGGGGACAGCGCTGCCGCTGAGGAGATCCGCGGCTTCGCCACGCAGTTCGATGAGCTGCGCGGGAAGTTTGCGGGGCTGCTGGGCTGGTGGATAGCCTCTGGTAATTTGTTACAGAACTTGCTATTGAAAATATGACTTTTTTGGGGACCCCCCATGACCCCCGTGGTCATAGATGGGATAGTACTTACCCTCTGGTAAACTAACATAGCTATTGAAAATGGCACATAGAAATCGTTGATTTACCTATGAAAGATGGGTGGATTTTCCATAGTTATGTGGCTGTTTACCAGAGGGTTTTTGAAGCATGGAAATCCCTGGGTGATACTCAGTATCCCATGAAATACCTGAAATATCTGACATGGAGCCATGAAAAATGGTGATTGTTGTTGGGAT